GGGAAAGTGGAAAAGTTCAAATTCCTCATAATAAATGGTTCACTAACTGCAACACAATACGGTGGCCAGTATAAAAAAGGATTTTGGAGCTGTCTACACTTGTGTTTATTTTAGGGGCTGTTTTGCAGGGGGTGGCAGAGTGTCTGTGTAACTGATACATTCTGCAACACCATTTCTATCTTTGGGAAGTTGCAATTGGTATCTTAGAGCTTAGCATGTCAAAATCCTGCTTCGGTCCCCTTGAATCCCATGAAGGAGATTAGCTACCAGAAGACACTGTGTTGGCAACGGCACTGCGCGTAGTACAGTGGCGAGAGTGGGGGTGATGTGGATGTGACACCCTCACGGTGACTGTCGTACGTGCTGCGGATGGTGCTTGTGATGCATGGTGACTGGAGCACACAGCGTACCTTAAGGATTTGGTATTGGCACGTGCTCTGTTTACTTACATGATGGGTTATAAAAGAGAAGGTGTTTCCCGATGCCTAGAAGAGGAAACCCGCACTCAAGCACTGTTGTCGTCAAATCCAGCCCAGAAGCTGGTGTGCAGCTGTGCGTTGTGAATATTTCGTGTAATGAACTGTGTGCAGAGTGTGTCCCTGTCCTGCCCCACGTAGGAGGACCCAGCCAAAATGAAGACGCTGCTGCGTGAGTAGATGATTATCGTCACTGATGAGTAGAGTGGCAGGAAATCTGCCTCAGGTAGAGCCTCGTCCAAAGACCTGTGAAGTCGAGCCGGGGGGCGGGGAAGAGTATCTCCGGCTCTGACGGTGAGTTTTGGACCAGGCCTGGGCACCCAAAGAGAGCAAGTCTGACGGCCGTGGCGGATGACATGCTTCGTACCTGCCTGCACCGCTGTAAACGTTAGATCACTCCTGAAATGAAAAATAAGTATTCGCTTAGGAAGAGCAGGCACAGCAGACTTCCAGAAGACTTTTAGCTCAGCCATTCAGGAGGACACGCTGCAGATACATTACCTAATTCTAAATTCATAAGAATATTCAAGAACAAAATTAATATTGTGGTTTAAACTTGTTCTACTCAAAGTGCTATCTCTTGTATAAGGTAAGCATGGTTTTGTTTCAATGTAAAGAAAGGTAATTCTATCTGAAATTCTTTTATCCTGTGTCACCCCTTAAAAACTTTTTTTTACAAAGATATTTGAAAAAATACGCACATTTCTGTATTCTGTTTATTTTTCTGTTTGAGTACATCATTTATTATTACTTTTTCTGGTAGGCTTGCTCACGTTTATTCCTCTTGCTTCATTTCCTGCTATGAATCTGAACATTGTCTATTTATCAATAAATGCTAAATAGGCTTCAAGCTGACCACAAAAACTACCGAGATCGATGGAAGTTTCTATACTGGCTTCTAAGAAGACCTGTCCCCAGTTCGAGGAACGTGGTGTATGCCCACGCTTGGCATTCTAAGATTTGTGAACGAAAGGCATATGCATTATTCAGTGTACTCAAATACTCTTAATAATAAACATACTTTTCCTTCATGAATCATAAAACGCTGCCAAAGTATTACTGTACATGTGCATTTTCCTGACAAGATCAGAGATGTACTTGGACAGCCCCTGCGAATGTATGGTGTGCGTTTGCTTACACACAAATCCGTAATTTATGACTAATGTGGAAAATAAATGGTGGGAGACTCAAGACATCACTTCAAATTTGCAAAGTAAGTGCTGAGAGGAAGTTTTCTGATTTGCAGGTATATGGTGTGTCATCCAAATACAATGAGCCCTTTCAGGATAGTTTAGTATTAGCGATTTCGGTTCCAATCAAAAGCCTTTGAAGACACACATTTTCAATCATGTGAGCACCCCACTGAACTCAAATGAAGCCACATTCTCAGGCTTCAGAGGGGCTGTGACATGCACTTACAACTAAACATATGCTAACCTCCTTTTTTGGATCAGGATCATGTTTTCAAATACTCTACATGCATGAAAACACGGAGTTTCTAAACCTTTGGTGGCTTCCAGTTGATGAAATATCATCACAGAATAGGATAGGTTAATCCATATAATTCGCCTGGAGTTCATTAAATCATTTTAAAAAAATTAAACACAGAGTTATATTTAGCTTGATACTCAGAAGTATTAACGCCATGCTTTTAATGTGACAGATTGGATTTGGAAAGCAATATAAAATATGGGTTTCAGTATATAGAATTTTTTATTTCCACAACTTAAGGACGTTGTTAAGATCCATGTGCTTTTTTAAGATCTATTCCATCATTTAAAATCCAACTACTGCTAGTTTGCCGAAAACATTTATCTTTATTAACTTTCAGTGCTCTGGAGAAGTTAAAAAGGGGACCTTTTATTACCCTTTTTTTTCTTAAAGTAGTAGTTAGAAGTGAAGACTGACTTTGTTTCTGTTGCTGGCATAGAGAATTTTTTTTTGTTCATCAAACTAATTAGAGTGTTTCAAATGAGAGTAATGTTAACCTTGGCAAAGAAACAACATATTCAATCTACAACCAAATAGTTATTTGTATGCTTTTTTTCTTTTTCCTTCTTTTCTTTCTCCCCCCCCCCCATAGGTGACTGGTAAACGGGGGGGCACAGGGGGACCATACAATGCTGGATATGATTGAGAAAAAACGTTGCCTCTGCAAAGAAATAAAAGCTCGACAGAAATCAGAAAAAGGACTCTGCAAACAGGACAGCATGCCTATTTTGCCGAGTTGGAAAAAGAATACCGGGACCAAGAAATACAGCCCTCCTCCTTATTCCAAACAGCAAACTGTTTTCTGGGACACTGCAATTTGACAGGCGTGTGGAGGATGCCCTCTCCACTGTGTTGCACCGTGCACAGGTAGCCTGCTTTCTTAATAAGGCAAAGGCTCTAACCTAAGACTTACCTGCAGGTGGTGAACTTCCTAGGAAAAAAACACCCCGATACAGTGCTCACCTGTCAATCAAGAGAGAGATTTAAGTTTCCGACTGGATTAAGGCATACATATTTATCCAGGATTTTTTTGGATCCAGAAGATATGAAAATGTAAATATTTCACCAATATATTGAAAACACCCAAACTAATACACTGTTCAAATATATATATATATAAAAATTCAGAAATTTATGAAGAATTTTACTATATAATGTTACTGTTATACTGTTTTATTACCTATTTTCTATGTGGTATTCTGATGTTACCCCGCCCCCGCCGCCACCATTTTATTTCTCTTACCTGCCTAGATTTGGCCTCTGTACAAAAGCATGTGGTTGTACATTTTGTTGAACAGGACAATGTACAAAACAACTCGGTGCTAGGGTTGTAGAAGTTACCTAGAGTCGTACTCGTTAGATGTCCTTAGCTTTGGGAGGGGGGAGGGCTGGACAAAGGAGAGAGTTTTGGTGGGAAACAGCAAAACTGCAAGCAATGCAAATAGAAGTGCTTAATGTGGATGCCCAAGTTGCATTTAAAATATGAATTGTTCTGCATCAGTTTTCCCATAAAGTTAATCGGATAAATTGCCCTTGGTTTTATGTGAATCAGTTGCTAAAATTATTTGGCCAAGAAACTAAATTTTCTGCAGAAAAGCCTGCAACAGAAACTCTTCCTTCATTATATTCAGCTGACTAGCAGAGACCATGGTTCACTGTGACTAAGCATTGTACAGCCCGTGACGGAGAGACCCAGTCGCTTAGCAGGTTAAGGCAGTGGCACCGCAGCCACGGTTCCTGTCCGCATTTGTCTTTGGTCCTGAAAATAAAGGCGACAAAATCTGTTTACATGTTTATTATTTTTAAATCCAGCAACACATCCTTACTTTACGCTGTGTCAGATTTCCTTGTGTTATTTATAAAGGCTGGAATTCAGACCCCTTGAAAGCCAGTGGGGAAATCCCTCTTGATTTCATGCGGTTTTGAAGGAGAGGCCCACGTAACACGTTCTCCCGGGTATGCCATTTCTTCTTCCTGGCTGCTTCTGCAATTGGCTTGCAATCCTGTATTATATTACACCCATTTTAACAGAATATTATGTCATGACCAAAGAATTATGACCTCCTGGTTTTAACGGGAGAAAGAGATGGCTTATACTGATTATGAGGGTGAAATCCATGCGGTGAAATATCTTCCAAAAGGCTCTGTTGAGAACGAGGGAAACTTGTACTGCTGCGGAGTAGGGGAAAAAAGATCTATGGCATATATTTTGTATATTTAAATTTCTATCTATGCGTCTGAAGTTTGGTAGCACAAAGGTCCCTCTTTAAAACAATCATTTTAATATTATATGCACCGAGAAGAAAAGGTGTGTTGTTTGAAACCTCTTGTTATATTGGCTTTTCTTTGAAATTATATTGACAGCATTGCCACAGCTGTAATTGCTGATCAAAAAAACCAAAAAGAACAAACTTTAGAAGGTTTTTGTAATCTATATTGCTAAAGTTTGAGTTTGAGTAATGCTTTATCGGTAGTAGTTTCTTTTCAGCCTCTGAAATAAAGTTTTTAAATATTTTATAACTAATTAACTGATGTATATTTTGATGTCCAAACTGAGATTTCTGTAAAAGATAAAGTGTGTGTTTATATGTGTGTATGTATATTAGCATTATTGTATATGTATATATGCATATGTGTACACACATATATATGTATATATGCATGTATCTCTCTATATATGCTCATAGATGTGTGCATACGTATATACCCACATACATTAAATATTGGTGTGTGTTATGAATATACAGTGGCTGGAATGGGTACGCAATTGAAATGCAGATTTAAAGAGCCCCTCACAGCCGAAACGACAGAAGACATGAAAAAACCCAGAGGCTGTGAAGGAATCTTTGAATACGTGTTACATCCAAAAGACACCAACTGTATATTCTGCTTATTCTCTTTTTTTTAAAGAAAGAAAATGGCAGAAGAAAAACTCCAGAGATCTCGCAAAGTTCCAGAATCTGCTGGAAAGAAGACGACTTGTTGGTTGTGAGAAATCTGTTGAGATAACAGGTTCATTATTCAGAAAGCGTTTATGCTTTGTCTTCCTTGTTACGTGGCAAGAGAAGAATTTTTCATAGCCGTGTGTGAAATACTTAGCTCAACCCTTTCCCCCAGCTGCACTAAGTCTCTGGTGGCAAAACGAAAGCCGGCGTTCAGTCAGTCTTGATACTCCTTCTCTGCCCTGGTCTCTTCCTGAAGCAATTGCTTTAAAAACCCTGCTACGGAAGCATCGATTTTGCAGTCCAGACCCGTGGGTACGCACGGGTGCTGCAGTGCCAGGCCCTTTGGGGGAAGGCAGACGTTCCTGTAAGCCGTTACGTGTTTGAGAGTGTTTGTTCATATTGTGTCCTTTTCATATCGATACATAATAGGAATAACGATCAGGGAACTGAAGCATTCTTGTCCTAAGCAGACTTGCTTGTACACTTAGCCCACCATGAAACCGCTCCTTGTTTTGCTTTTATTGCTCAACACTGTTGATGTTGTCCTTCCTAAATAACTGCCCATGTGCTTCCAGACCTCCATTGTATCCCATGGAAACAATGGCTTTTTGTTTTAAAGTGCGACAGTACACGAAAAAGTAAAATATAACTTAGCACTTACCTTCAAAGCACTTTAGAAACGTGAACTAAACCTCACGCTTGCGAGAATCGTTTTACAGAGGAGGGAAGTGAGGCTCAGGTGGAGTAGTTTCCAAAGGTCACGGACAGAGCCAGAGCAAGACATACGCCACCGTCCTGTCCCGTGACTGCTGGCCCACGCCATCGCTCGAGTAAAAGGTGCATCGTACTGCCGAGAGCGTGCCATCAAAACGCTGTTAAACATTTTCTACATCACCTTTTGTCTCAGCAGTTTCTGTGTCACAGGGTGAATGACAGTGCTTAGTTACACACGGTCATTAAAGCTGTAGTCTGTATAAATATGCAATCTGTATATACATACAGATCACATATATACACACACTTACGAAGACTGTATATATGAAATTGTTTGGTATGCACTTATTTTGCTTTAAACTCCTGAAGTTAAACATTATAGTGTAGCAATTTGTGTAAAGTGCACTGTGATTTCAAGAAAGCACAGTAAAGTCACAGGTCTTGTTATTCTTGCACTAAAAATGTGTTTACGTATATTAGCCAATGTATGTCTACTTTATTGCTCCTTTTGACAAATTAAAGCAAATGGTATAAAATGGTATGGGGTTTTTTGGTTTGGGTTGTTTATTTTTAAGTGGACAATGGCACTATGTTTTTAAATGACAGGGTTTTTAAATACAATGAAATCATTCTGTGTTCATTCCAATGTAATACATTTACCAATATCTTGAAATTGAATGTCATGTTGCTTTTTTCATATTTCATTAGAAATTGTCAGCTATGTGCCTGAGATTGTGTAGGAGTAAGGAGTAGCTAGAGGCTAACTGTAATCATATATTATTAGCCGTTTCTATATACACAGTATAAATACATATTAATTTTCTTTTCATTTTTGTACTTGATTTTTTTAGGTAAGATGTAATTAAATGTACTTTGATACTTCTGAAGTAATAAGATGTTGTTTGAAGATCAATTCTGCTTTCTTTAGTGCTTTGACAATATTTTACAATAATTTAGTGCTTATTTATTTGTGCTCCGGTGTAATTATAATAAAAAGCAATAGTTTAAAATATTTGGCTGTTCATTTTCATTTGATGGTTTCAGCTTAGAGCTGGGTTATTCACTAGGGATTAGCCAGAGATTCCTGGGAAGAAAAGTCAAGTCATAGATGTATATTTATAACATTCCCTAGGCACGTTTTTAATCGCATCATTTGTTGGAGGAAACGAATGAATTGCTTTAATAGGTTAATATTTGCAAGTCATGCCTGGTTGCATCTAATGCCATGAGTGCCATCCTCAACTAAATCCTTAGGATAAAATTTCTCTGAAGAGCAGACAGAAATTTTTCTGTAAGTACCTCTCACAGTTTGGGATGGAAGATGCCCACTTCAAAGACACCCCTTCAAAGATCTCCGTTTGCAGAATATCCACGAATGGGAGCGGGACCCATCAGGCTCTCCATAAAGCTTTAAAAAAAATCTGCTTAAAAGTGAGTATAATCTTCCGTGTTTCCAGACAGAAGCTTTACTCCCATCAGGATGTAAAACCGAGTCCTTACAGAGGAATTCCACACTGGGAGGAGGGGATGGGACAGGGGCTGTGGGGGAAGAAAAGGACCTGTACAAGCTTGCAAATGATACTGATCTTCCAGTGCTCAATTTTTCAATACTTCGTGTTTGTTGTTGAAGTTTTGTAGCCTGGTTTCTGTGACTGAGAGAACCTCCCCCCTAATTTTTTTAAGGCAGCATTTTGGAATTGAAAAAGGTTTCCAAGAGCAAGTAAGCAAGTAGTTAATAAAGAACCCAGTAAGAAACAGTAATGTTCTGAGACCAAATTTCTCTCCCTTCATGGAAAAAGCTGCCTTTAATACGCAAAAAAGGTACTATCCATGTTTGTACAGATCCGTATGCAGAAGTGAGCCAGTGGGAACCTTTTGGTTGTCTTCTGCAGGAGCTGGTTCCGAGTCAGGTTGCAGATGATCCAGAAAGTGCTTTCCAAGTGCTTCCCTGCCCCAGGAGCCACGTGCTTTCCCCGAGGCACAGCCTCTCTCTCCTCAGCAGGAACCCCAGTTGCCAGGGCCCATACAATGGCTGAAGAGCTTTGCTACCTCTTTATGCTCCTCTTCCTCTTTCCAGCCCCTGGCATGGATGTTCAGAGCGACTCGTCCTCCGAAGCGAACTCCAGCCTTTTGTCCAAAGCTCCATGTTTCAGAGGGAAATC